AAAATATGCCCGCACGGCGCAATCCGGCACGGTGGGAAGCCCCTCTCGTACAATTTAAATTACGTACATAAGCCAAAAATAAAAAAAATATGATTTAGAACATTTCACTTTTTGTATACAGAATCCACTGTTTTTAAACTAACCTGACCAAAAAATAAAATAAAGTAGTAGCCGACAAAAAAAGTTCCGTGGAAATTTGCTATGTCACGTTTCATAAAACATTAAAAATAATCGACTTTATTTGAATATTTAAAATGAAAAGTACCGGGGGACCGAGCCGTGGCTCAGTATGTATATTTCGATTGTAAAAGCAATATAAAGGAAACTCGTGTTTTCTTTATAACTAATTTCGGCTTTTATTGTTTAAGTTTCAGTGGAATTTTAATTTACTATGATGTAACTTTAAATGGACAATGCAACACATTAATTTATTTTAATCTTACACATTTCTGTTATTGTAAATAAATCATAGAAATAAAAAAAAATAAAAGTAGTATTTTTTTAAATACGTTCCTAATGAATGAATTAATATGCGATCACAGATTAATACAGTAGCAATCAACTACACAGCATTAAAACAGCACAGTGTATGTAAGGGGTGTGATTTATTTCTTGGTACTAAATTAAGTCATTCTTCAAGTATAAGTAAAACTTCAGCATGGGCATACTCTCTAACGTACTATCATATGATGGATTAGCTGAAGGCAGATAAGTCCGATTCAAGCTTATATTGCTTACTATAAAGATTGTTGTAATACAATTAACTTTAACTAGTGGTCGTCCAGTGGTCGAAAACTCGACCAAAAATATGTAATGTACAGGTTTCAAATGATTTAGGCCTAAAACTTTTTTCCCCGTGTGAGTAACTAAGGACTTCTGGATAGTTTAAATATGATATTTATATGTTTCTTACTCAGGAACAATGCCGTTCCGGGACACTATATAAATGGATGTTAACGTGATTATAAATTTGCATTTTACATAGTCAAAATACAATAGGTATTGCGCAACCGTGATATGTTAAGTCATTAACCTTGGTTTACTAATAAAAACTACACCGTATGCTTACTCAAACAAAACAAAACTTGCTTACTGTACAGCAATAAATCACGTAAAGAACAAAACAAAATGAAAATGTAGACTAGAAGACTACTGATACCGTAGTCATCCTAGGCTACTACTACATGATGTTTCAGAACAGAAGTATGGGGATAAAAATATTAAATAACTCATAAAACACCATAAAATCATAGTACTGTACTTAAGTCTTTCTGGTAATAATAACAATGATAAAAATAAGATAAAAATGATGTAAAACACCTCTTATTATTTCTCTTTGTTCTATTCTTTCTTTGGTTTCTCTACATCCACAAGTTGTCATGGTTACTAATCACCCAACGACCCAACCACAAAATATTGTAGTGTTGTGACAGCAGACAGAAGCAGACGATTGTCAGTATGTCAGTGTCAGTGCAAGATTGTCAGTCTGTAGGTGCGAGCGTATAGGTTGACCTTGACGATACTGATCGATATTTCTCCGTTTTGCTTCCATCTTATTTTTGTTAAATGAACTGTAATATTTCAATAATTGGGAACCTACTGCACATAAAAATTACCGTAAATAGTTAAATATATCGTTCATATCGAAATATAAGACTGAAAAACACAGTTAATAAAACATTTTCTTGGGATTTGTGAGGTTATATAATATATAGGCATCATGATGATGCGACTCCAGTTAAGCGAGGTTCTACTGTATTTGCAAGTTAAAGTTACAAATAGAAAACCCATTATATGGTTTGTATTCAATGACCGATGTATTATACAAAATAAATTATAACTTATTTTGATATTAATCAGCAGCATTTATTACAGCTTGCAGCACTTATTGGTATATATAAATATCCCAGTTACTATTAGTAAAAAAAAATAAAACACAAAATTGTGTGGCCATTCAATTTTTATAAACACAGTGTTAAACATTTGACTCTGCAGAATACCGGATGGTAAAGAGTGTTTGGTTTCAAGAAAATAAAATAAAAAATAGTTTAACCTGCTTTACTATTTATTTTGAAAAATAATAGATAGGAAACCATAAGGATAGGTATGGGATTGAACTGAAATAATTGCAGAAAAACTTAAATAGTAAAGTCCACAATCTGTACATTGTTAGAGAGCGAGAGAGAGAGAGAGATAGAGAGAGAGATTTGATAAGGAATCTGAAAAGTAAACAAATAATCGTTTCTGGCGTTGTTATATTGTACCCCCCTCCCCCCCCCCCGTATTTGCACTCGTGACCACTTTTTGTTGCTTCCTTATCATTCATCCGTCCCAAAATATAATTCCTGTAATAGTTTGTTTGTAAAATTGAAATTATTATAAAAATATTTTATCTTTCAAGTGTAGTTTCATGGTTATTCTTATCAGATAGAATAATATCGTTGTCATATGTAATAGTTACTCCTTCACGTTACGCAATTGGTAAAAAACAGTTCCAGTATCTCGGACAAGATTCACGTATATTTCTCGAGATAAAGAAAATCCGTATAGTTCCCGGTCCGTGGAAACACTGTAAATACTAGGATAAAAAATATTGTATAAAGGAGAAGTTGACTAAAATTTCAACTGAAGGTAAAAAAATCAAAATAACTTAAAATATGAGATGATGAACGGGTAGGATCAAGATTCAACCAATTATAATTAATTAATATTCGACGATCCTTATTAGAGGTGCATCATATTTATTTGGAGTATGAACATGTTTAAACATTAACACGTAGTTAATCACTATCCCAACACAAATAGTAACAAGGAGTAAACGAAGGTTACAGACCGCTGGGTTTTACCGCTACAAAGTAGGGTAGGGTGCCGTACTGGCTACACTACTCCACGATAGAACACACGATGAGACAGTCTCCGCATTGGTATTGCAGTTACGCTTATCGACACAGGCAGCAGCACCGGTTTGCTGTTTTCATACGTATAAAGTGCACGGGAAGCCATACCTGACTGGCTTATGGGAGAGCTGACTGGCTTTCGGGCGGGTGACTGCCACACCGAGTAAATTACCAGCGCACTGACTGCCAAACCGGGTGGGCACAAAAGTATATATATATATATATATATATATATATATATATATATAGATTTATATATATATATATATACGTCCGTGAACGCGATAACTTGAGTATTTTTTGTCCGATTTTGATGAAATTTGGTTTAAAGGTGTGAAGTGGGATAAACTTGAATGATTTCGCGAACTAGCACGATCGGACCATGGGAACGGGGCTTTACGGGGGGTTTTTTGGGGTAAAAATTGGTTTTTCTCACTTTTGACCCTCAAAACACAAAATTTGCCAATTTCTCTTTAGACCTTTTTAAAGAGCTTAAAAAAACAAATAATTTAGTATATAAAAGTATTTTTGTTCGATTATTAGTAACCGAGAAAATTAAAAAAAAGTGTAAATTTAAAATTCCCATGTTATTCTTATGGATAATATTGTCAAATGTGTAGTTAGCTTGTTTATGGATATATTTTGATCAAATTTTGCAAATTTATTTATTTTGTACTAAGCTATCAATATTTTACCCAAAACACACTTTATTAGTTTCCTTGTAGCAGCAAACCTAGGTACTCGTTAAACCTAATGTTATTAAAATATATTTAACTGAAAATCAATTCAGACAAATGGAAATTCGCTTAGTCGGCAGGTTTGCTGCGGCGGGGGTATTTTCTTTTCACATACAAAATTAGTTAGGCCTATCTTATAAATTGTTTTATAATTGTTCACTTAAATGAAAGTTCACCAAACACACGAACGATCTTGTTTATGGCGTGAATCTTAATAACCCTTTCCCCACAATTGCGATACATAACTAGTTATTAAACAAATGGCCATACACTATTTACACTATTCATCATACATCATTGTTATACAGATTTATAATAACAGTTAAATGTCTGAAATAATCTTGAGTTAGGGTTGTTGAGATACATTCACAAATTGAAACACTGAAATAACATTGAAAAAATTGAAACATTCATTGATTCAAAATACAGTATAAAGCCACCTGATCAGATATATCGTACAAGACCAAGTGGATTATACTATAAATCTTTAAATAAATCGAAAAACATTTGGATTGCGATCGACATGAAGGTTAGTTGGCAAATCCTTGGAGCTTCTGGCCCACGGGAATTAGTCTCACATAAATACAAAATAGGTATGCAAGATTAAGGTGTAGCTCTTGGTTTTTTACTAATACATTGTTTTGTCACCGAAATATATTGCATTAAAATAAACTTCGGTTTTAAATAGGTACCTTACGAGTGTTACATCGAAACAGACGTGTTGGATTTCGTTTTATAATAAGCCGTAACGACAACTAGTTTAGGTTAAAATAAAGTTCGAACTATTTTGTTCGGACGTTCATACAGCATTTTACAAAATACTAAAATACAAAATCTAGACGATTCGTTTCATATGAGTATTTAAGAATCGATTTCACTCCACATACATTTTGTTAGAATTTTCCGTTTTCTTACAGTTACAAGCAGAATCTTAATTAATATCAAAAAACTTCATAACAGTCTATACTGAATTATATTACGTCATATTTGTGAGAATAGTCTTTTGTCACAATTGTATAAATAAATTACGACAACGTATTTAAGTGAAGGGTAATTGTTAAGCTTTGAATTATTTCACTCGTCCCAAAGAATACGATATTTGTGTATGCATTGTGATTCGTGTTTTATAATTTTAGTCTACAAAGCTTTATTAGGCTACTGTGTTAAAATCTCTCAAATCGGGGAAAGCTAAAACAAAACTTGAAGTTTAGAAAAGCGTTGCCACCTTAATCATAAATTATAGATACTTTCTTAGTAACATGCCACATGATATTGAAGATTTGCCGGTGAGGAGTTTGATCAAAACAACTAGCAAACAATTGCCTGCGTATTACGAGGTATCGCGTACATAGCGTGCTATACACACCTGAGAGGCAGCAACATGATGTGTGGGACGCCGCGACGCGACTGAGGCGGACGACGACGCCCCACCATCACGCCCCCACCACGGCCCACACACCATGCGCAATATACTGTATTATATATTTGCTATTTTCACCCGAAATTAAAATATTTGAAGATCTATCTTGCCAAACCAAATGTTTTAATGTATGAATGTGCAAGATGGCACTGTTTAGATCACATCCAAAGACTAAAGTCTCACTGATTGTTTCTAAGTGGCGACCCTTGTCCTAATCAAGGAGACAACGTGTAGTCAGAGCCAATCAAGTCCTTGGTAAACTGCTGCTCCACTGTCACTGGCGTCTCGGTAAGATAAGAGAACATCTTCAAGGTCGTTCGGTGTCTGGTTCAAGCCGCATAACAGACAGGATTTATGAATTTACTGCTCCTTAATTATCTTCGCTGTTAAAAAGTGGTTAAGGAAAATACCTGTGAATGAGTGTTGGGCTTATAGTTCTCAGTGACCATCTCATGAATGGCCAAGTAGGTGTACCGGTAGTGAAATGATGCATTTTCGTGTATAACTTACACTGTTTTTTACGTGTAATCAGCAAAGCACATAGCAGGCCTTCGACACACACCAAAGGTGCAGGGGCCACGCGTTTGGGAAAAATACAAAAATAATGGTAACAAGTCTGAATTTTACGTGAACATTGTATGGAAATGTTAGTCTTAAAATTACACCAGTAAAGTCAGCCAACATCACAGTTGGTCCTCCTTTTGCGTCGTCCTACGTTCGCTACCGATTGCTCATATATGAGCCAGGGGGATTCCGCCTGACAGGTACCTGAGCAGCCTAGTGTGTATTGTTATTTTTTCAACCCAGAGACCAAAATTTGATTTCAATGAAAACAAATTATATATAATGTGAAATAAGTGCTATACACAATTAGACCAGTATATTTTGTTCCAGTATTTGGATAATTAACAATTTATAAGTGGCTCATATATGAGCCATCGGTCAGGAGTGACCATAACCACATTGAAATATTGTAACTGACCGATGACTCATATGTGAGCCTTCAGAGAAAAATTAATGGTACATAAAAAATATAATTACACGGTAGTTTTAATTTAATTTAACCCTCTGAAACAAATTCATAAATATTCATACAGGTTCTATTTATGAAAACAACAATCTTAAGTATAAAATATGACGATAATTTTAAAAGCAATACTTTTCTTAAATTAGGCTAAAAGTTCCAGGCCCAATCATAGCCTATACGTACCAAATAAATCTAAATAAATAATAAATATATAATAAAAATATATAAATAATATAAATAAAAAACAACTTGTCAGAATGTAAAGAACAAGGCTGCCAACTTTAGGCTATTTGCAAAATAGCGTATAATTTCCCTACCCCCAGACCATGTGACTTATACAGGGTGAATAAAAAGTCAAGACCCCCCCCCATCTAATATTTTTCCAAGTAAATATACAGAGATATCTTTTTGGTGGTCGATCAATCTTAGCAGGAAGTTTCATTTTATCATTTTGAAATTTGTGAGTGTCCCCCCCAAAAGGGGGGATTTGGGGGGCAACTCAAATATTTTAAATCCAAACCCCCTTCAAGTGACACCTCATTTTGAAGTGTTTACAAAAAATTAAAGAATGGTGAAAACTAGAGGTCGCTATCTCTTCTCTATCCAAAATGGTAGCCCGTCAAATGTTGTGGAAAATCAACGGTAAAATTGTTAAAATTGGCTGCCATTTTGGATAGAGAAGAGATAGCGAGCTCTGGTTTTCACCATTCTTTAAGTATTTGCAAACACTTCAAAATGAGGTGTCACTTGAAGGGGGTTTACATTAAATTTTTTTGAGTGTCCCCCAAAAGGGGGGATTCGGGGGACAACTAAAAATGTTTCAATAGAAACCCCTATCAAGTGACACCTCATTTTGAAGTGTTTACAAAAACTTAAAGAATGGTGAAAACCAGAGCTCGCTATCTCTTCTCTATCCAAAATGGCAGCCAATATTAACAACTTTACCGTTGATTTTCCACAACATTTGACGGGCTACCATTTTGGATAGAGAAGAGATAGCGACCTCTAGTTTTCACCATTCTTTAATTTTTTGTAAACACTTCAAAATGAGGTGTCACTTGAAGGGGGTTTGGATTTAAAATATTTGAGTTGCCCCCCAAATCCCCCCTTTTGGGGGGACACTCACAAATTTCAAAATGATAAAATGAAACTTCCAGCTAAGATTGCTTGACCACCAAAAGGATATCTCTGTATATTTACTTGGAAAAATATTAGAGGGGGGGGGGTCTTGACTTTTTATTCACCCTGTACAATCCCCATATTCTTCCATAGACCAACACATTAAATTCAAGTCGAAAATATAGACCGATGATTAGTGTTATAACTCGTTATAATAGAATAGAGCAGTGGCTCTTATGTGAGCCATCGGTCTATAGTTACGACTCAGTACGGCTCACATATGAGCCATCGGTCTGTGGATTGGAAACACCCTGGCTCACATATGAACCGCTGGTCTATTTTGGGAGTTTGGTCTGTTGACGATCTGTAGCGAACTTGTTAAAGTGATAAAAAATCTGCCACGATCATAATAATAGATAAAGACACTTATTTCGGCGACAGAAAATGATCTCAGTTGATGGTAAGACGGGATGATGTTGATAGTTGAGATCGCACGTAATCACTACGGATCGATGTGCCCGCTATCGTAGAAAATCATCTCGGAAGTGTCCACGACCACGGGAAATCATCATGGATGATATTAGCGTGGAACAATCAAACATCATGGATTTTATGTTATTATAGCGATCGTATGTGTCACCAAGAATCGATGAATCAAGACAAGAGTGTTGCCGCAATCGCTCAAAACCATAACGCATGTTAGTGCAATCAAGTAAACTAGATAACCTGTTGCTCGAAATCGAGCAAACCTGCAACTTGTAATAAAAATAATAAACAACAAAAACATAAACAGCAAGACCTCAATCAAAGAGTGATTCTAAAGTCTATGACTGATTATAGAAATACGAAAAATATTATGTTGTAACAAATTATAAAACTAACCTACAATATTTAATATAGATCCGCTCTCATACTGCTCTGGTCATCTCTTATGTATTGTAGGTGGGTCCCCACTATGAGAACGTAGATCTTAACCACACACTGTAAAGTGAGCTTTTCCGACCTAATGTTGCAAGCCAAACCTCTCTTGACGCAAACCAGTACGACACGTAATATGGCACTGTTAAATTATTTATACGATAAGTTCTGTTTTAGGCGTGTTTAAATTAGGGGCCCCAACCAAAGTCTCCAGTTGGGAACATTAGGGGGCAAGCAAGTGGATATAACGACGGATCTAGAACGGATTCGCGTTTAACATTATTAGTTTTTGAAAAAAAAAAGAAACTAAGATTTATTTTGTCTGGTGGTCCTCTGTTTTCAGCTTTAAAAATAGCGGCGACATTTATACAGGTCGCATCATTGTAGCGAGGAAAGCCAATTATTTCGTCTCTTATTATGTACATAAGAATCTCCCTTAACTCCTCGGAGCTCTCGTCCCTACACATTTCTGCCATAGTTTTAAAAGATTGTGCAAATGGGTTGGCAATGTGACCCTATTTCCCACATATTTTATCATTGAATCTTTCCTTTCAAGTGTCATGGATCTTGAAATTGTAGATCCCTTGTATGATCCTCTCATCTAAATGAGCTTCAGAGCTGACCATGGCAAAGGCGGAATTGAATTGACGAATTTTATTCTAATAATTTCTAGATCCAAGTCAAGTCTCAGAGCCCTGATTTCAGATTGGGAGTTTCCAATAAGTTCCTGAAAGTATGGTGAATTCCACAGATGAGGTAAATGGTTCTCTCATTTATGGCAAAAAAGAGTAACAATTGAACTGTATCGGCCAGACTTTTTTGCTTAAAATTCAAGCCACCACAATGTAAACATCTAACGTTCATTTGTCAAGGTTAGATGTATCCCACACGATGGTTGCCACTCTGTAATCTTCAAATGATACATTGGGAGATTGATGCAAGCAGCCACATTCGCGTTTCCTCCAGCCACTCACAGTCTTCGTCTTACTGGTAGCATATTATTTTAAATTTAGATGAATTACGAAAGTTAACAAAACAACAGAAAACACTACAACGGAATTGTTATACACATTGTAAATTACATGATATTGTAATGTAACTGCACTGGAAATAATCACTTTCAAACATTTATTTCATCACACCAAACTGTAACCAAAACAACACGATAATTCAGTAAAATATGATGTAAGGTAAATACATTCAACTATTTACAAACAATTTGTTGTCAAGTCTAGAAAGAAACTCTTTATTTAAGAAACAGATATAGTTAACAGATGTTTAGATAAAAATATAGAATTCCGGCTTTTCTCTGGAATAAATGAGTCCTGCAGTCTGTGGTTAACCTTAAAAACTATTTCAAACTACGTTCATATGTTATTTGTAAACAAAGGGAAATGAGTTTAATCAAATGTCAACAGATGGCGCCGCCTTCCAAACTTTAGCCCTTAACTGTACTTAAATGATGCCATTTCTTAATATTTTGAGACGTATTTGCACATCTACATGAAAATACCTTTAAATTGACACCTCAAACGTTAAAATCCATCAAGCGGTTATCGAGCTATGACTGTGAAAAGAAAACCGCTTGCGTATTAATATATAGATGCTCTCGACCATCGCAGTCGTCAACAATACTGTAACGCCAACGTTATACCTCAGCATTTATTTCATAGGCGTACTTTAAGTGACAGGTAGACCCTAACGGCCGTGCAACGTGCAACACATTTGCTTCATGCATAAACAGTTTGTATTTTCCTTAGGGATCTGTTTAGGATACAGTATCGTAAACACCTAACGCCTCATACAATATTATCAAGTGTTTACAATCTCATCTCCTTCTGTTATTGTTTCTTGCGAGACTAGATTTCGTGGAGGCGCGTTTACATGAGTTATCCCCTGCTTTAGGTGATCCCTAACCGTACAGGTTGTAAACCGTATTAGACACCTGGG